AGCATCAGGAAAAAGGAATTTCTGTGCGGGAAAATCCCTTCTTAAACTAGCACAGGTCCCTGGTGGTTAGGAAGCAAGGAAGCCTGGAAAAGAATACACTACCCTCCGCTTGGGAAAAAAAAATAAAAAAATAAAAAATCAAGAGCGCATGTAAGTTTGTTTCACCTACACGAGATTACAGTCCCGTTATTATTCCTGTGTTTTACCATCCGAAAGGGTAATTTTTCCTCCATTACACCATCGCTACAGCGTCTCTCAAACTCATTTAGAAAGAGGGAGCAGGAGCATCTCAAGACTACGTAAACTCCCCCGCACAAAAAGCCACTACTGTCCCTGATCGCCAAGTGCTCTCCCCCGCCCTCCCTGCCTTCGACGTCAATTTGAAAATTGAAAGAAAACGCTTATTTGGGGAGGAAAAAGCAATACCCGAATGCATTCATCACCAAATGCCTCTGAGAAAATACTGTGGGTGGTGATTACGACAGGACAATGCCTCCTCTCTCCTTTGTTTTCTGCCTATAGAGGTGTGGGTTTGTTTGTTGGTTTTTTGTTGGTTTTTTTTTTCCCCTTCCATGGCAAAGTAGGACACCATCAGCAACAATCTTTAAAAAGAAAGAAGGAAAAAAATCAACTTATTTTCGCCGGCACGTGATATTTCCTCACGTTCAGCACAGCTTTCATTAACCGGGGTGAAATGACCGCAAACAGTGCGACACACAGCGAAATTAAATGTACACAAACTCTGGAGCCGCTAACCCCCTGTTTACCCCCTCAGCAAATACTATACCAAGTGTGCCACCGCTGAGGACAATTTTAAACCTCTATTATTCGCAACAATTTTGCAGGAAAGCTCCTCTCGGCTGTCAGAAGGCCTCCAAGCTACAGTGACGGTGTGAAACAGACCTTAAAATCCCAGCCCGGCACGGGGGGAAGGTTAGTAGGCTGTTTCCAAAGCCATCGCCCTGTTTAACAAGGTGAGCCCCGTAGTTCCACTCCTCTGGCAAAGCGCCGCGCAGGAAAGCTCCCCCCGCGAAACAGCCTTCACCGCGGGGAGAAAAGCCAGCCCTCCCTTTGCTCTGGCGCTGCTTGAGTTCTGCACAGTTGAAGCACTCTGCTACCCGGCTCCGGTGCGTATCCTAATCAAACCCACCGGTGAATAAACACTTTGTTGGAAGAAGACGACAAGCCGGACGGGGGATGAAGAGGGGAAGGGATCCTTACCCTAGCAGCGTGCCACGCAAAATTCCGACTGATTTTGGTTCCGTACCCGCTACTCCAGTTAAGGAGCACCTAAATAATAAGCCGGAGTCTCTTCGAGCAGGGGTGATCCCAGTAAAAGAGGTGCATGTACCCACTCCGTGCTTGTACGGTGCCGGAGTCGAGCCTGTGACAGTGACGGGGGTGAAACCCCGGAGCGCTTTGCCGCCCGGCGTCCGCCTTGGCCGGGGGTGCGCAGGGCCCGGGCGACGGTCGGGACGGGACGGGACGGGACGGGACGGGACGGGTCGGGACGGGACGGGTCGGGACGGGTCGGGACGGGACGGGACGGGACGGGACGGGACGGGACGGGACGGGTCGGGACGGGACGGGGCGGGGG